CATTTATACAAATTTTGATATTTCTATTTTGAAAAATGCCCAAGATATAAAATAATTTAAAAAATCGCAAACAGACTACAAACATCTAGGCATTACCCATACTTATATGGCATTTTTGTCTTAGCCCAAGGAACAAGTCCACAAAATATGCCCAGACAATTTAGAAACATTTTGTATAGCATTTTGAACGGATGCTGTTTTTGGTCCCTGGGGACATCAAAATGAAAAAGTAAATCTACAAACCTACAACGATAATGGGTAGCTACTTCCCTATAGGGAAATTCACTAATAGAGCGCTTGGTACTAATTTATGTAATTATTTGTATTGGTCGTTATCAATATTGTGTGGATTCTTTATTTGTGAGCTCAGTTATTTCATACTATTTCTTTTACCGTGTACAAACACATACATGGCCTCGCCACCGCGGGCCAAATGGGACTCCTTTAATACTTTACTTGAAATAGTAACCATACGAATGAATGTAGGTATTTTAAGCCAAGTATGAATAGATATGACATTTGACACAGGTAGAGCTGAGGATTTTAAAGGTAACTGGAGTATGGATCAAATGAGACTAATTTGGTTCCAGAACAACAGAGACTCGGATCAAATGGCGCATAACCTTTCTATAGGTTATATTTATGTGAAACTATACTATTTTGGGTTTACGTTATATTCACAAACTTACTTCGACCATTAAGATACGATATAGAATATTTTGTCATTAAATATCATTCATTTGCAATTTATTTATTAGGCCTAATTGATCGTGACCACCGTGACTGACATTGGAAAACTCCTTTTTGTCTACAGATTCAATAGGGGATTCAACAAAGGCTACTGCAGCTGTGGTCGCCGATTTTCCACGTCTAAAACTATGTTGGTGTATAAATGAGTGTGGTTAAGTGGGAGCATATTCACTTATAGGTCACGTGATATGCATCTCAATGTATCTCCCGTACGTTCGCAATGTGGAAGAGCAGGCCGAAGGACGTCATGTCTCGCCGATGTGTGGGTGTGGTATTGTGGGAGCAGATTCACTAGGTCACGTGATATGCATCTCAATGTATCTCCCGTACGTTCGCAATGTGGAAGAGCAGGCCGAAGGACGTCATGTCTCGCCGATGTGTGGGTGTGGTTATGTGGGAGCAGATTCACTAGGTCACGTGATATGCATCTCAATATATCTCCCGTACGTTCGCAATGTGGAAGAGCAGGCCGAAGGACGTCATGTCTCGCCGATGTGTGGGTGTGGTTATGTGGGAGCAGATTCACTAGGTCACGTGATGTGCATCTCAATGTATCTCCCGCACGTTCGCAAAGTGGGAGAGCATGCCGAAGGACGTAATGACTAGCCGATGTGTGGGTGTGGTTATGTGGGAGCAGATCCACTAGGTCACGTGATGTGCATCCCAATGTATCTCCCGTACGTTCGCAACGTGGGAGAGCAGGCCGAAGGACGTCATGTCTCGCCGATGTGTGGGTGTGGTTATGTGGGAGCAGATTCACTAGGTCACGTGATGTGCATCTCAATGTATCTCCCGCACGTTCGCAAAGTGGGAGAGCATGCCGAAGGACGTAATGACTAGCCGATGTGTGGGTGTGGTTATGTGGGAGCAGATCCACTAGGTCACGTGATGTGCATCTCAATGTATCTCCCGTACGTTCGCAATGTGGGAGAGCAGGCCGAAGGACGTCATGACTAGCCGATGTGTGGTTGTGGTTATGTGGGAGCAGATCCACTAGGTCACGTGATGTGCATCTCAATGTATCTCCCGTACGTTCGCAATGTGGGAGAGCAGGCCGAAGGACGTCATGACTAGCCGATGTGTGGGTGTGGTTATGTGGGAGCAGATTCACTAGGTCACGTGATGTGCATCTCAATGTATCTCCCGTACGTTCGCAATGTGGGAGAGCAGGCCGAAGGACGTCATGACTAGCCGATGTGTGGGTGTGGTTATGTGGGAGCAGATCCACTAGGTCACGTGATGTGCATCTCAATGTATCTCCCGTACGTTCGCAATGTGGGAGAGCAGGCCGAAGGACGTCATGACTAGCCGATGTGTGGGTGTGGTTATGTGGGAGCAGATCCACTAGGTCACGTGATGTGCATCTCAATGTATCTCCCGTACGTTCGCAATGTGGGAGAGCAGGCCGAAGGACGTCATGACTAGCCGATGTGTGGGTGTGGTTATGTGGGAGCAGATCCACTAGGTCACGTGATGTGCATCTCAATGTATCTCCCGCACGTTCGCAAAGTGGGAGAGCAGGCCGAAGTCATGTCTCGCATATGTGTGGGTGTGGTTATGTGGGAGGATATTAAACAAATCGTGCGTTCCTTTAAACATGCGTTGACTCTTGTACCTCTCTCTATGTGTTATCTGAATCCAATCCCATGATTAAATTAGAATATTAAACAAAGTAACAGGTTATACCATTTTTTTTTTAGTTGTTTAATTAATCTTGAATGAGCACAACACTCTTATATGGCTTTGGCCAAACCTCCACTTCTCACGTTCATTGGTTTAACTGGTCGTGTTTTATCTTCTCTTCGTGAGAATGTTGTATGGAAGCCTTCTCAACGTTGTACGCGACGTAAACAGATCAGGCGAAGGACTTCTGCATTCCAATCCCTTGAATCGTCATTACAGTTCCACTGATACGCAGTGACTCGAGTATGAATGGCACCAACTTTTATTTTATACAAATTTAGCATCGTTCAACAAGAATGTTATAAGTCGGCATCGTCAACCATACTCATCTTGAACATCTACAGTAATATGGGTGTGTATTGAATCAGGATTACTTTTTCGCCTTCCACGACTAAACTTGAGTTTACAACACGTGTTTTAACAAACACGAGAGTTTTTAAAACAAAAGTTTCCAATCCAAAAACATCGCTGGTTCTGTCAAAATGTTTCAACAGTGTTTCAGCGTTTAGAAAATTAGATTAGTGACCCGGAATGTAAACAAACCACACATCCTTACGCCTGTGTGGACAGCAAATTAATAAGTAATACTGTCTGAAAACGAAGCGAATAATGTTAAAGGAAATTATAATATCATCAAAATTTCCTGGCAGTTAACTTCCTTGATAATAGCGAAGCTACATATAGCCTCAGACGAATACATCCAATCGATCTTCCAAATCGTTTCTAGCTTAACTAGTTGTTACCCACGGGCTTCACCCCGTTTATGGTTAGGTTAAGCTGAAATAAACAAAACAGAATACAGTAATACAAAGAAATAATCTCACCTGATTTTAATAATAAGGTAATAAATTGAAAGAATAACATACAAAATGAATACAGCTGAGGTATTTTTAACATTAGGTATACGGAAAGTTCCCTTTGGAAATCAATATTACGAACTTATAGGGCAATTTAAGAAATAATGGATAGTTTGCGCAACGTTTCTCATCATGACGAACATTTTAAGTACAATGGTTTATGTGGGGGTGTGTCTTGTAGTTTTCTCAAAAGTTCATGGGTACTTTTGGCTTTATATATAGATTTGTTTATAAAATGTTTTGTTTTGTATGTTATAGTGCACTCGCTGGAGTGTAATTAAATCATGTTAAATTGTCATGACATTTACTCATTGTTCTAGTATAGAACAGATTGTAAGTAAAATGCTTGCAAAAAAATAGGTATAAACAGTGTGAGTACTGGGAAAACGAAGCTAGGTTAACCTGTGAAGCTAAGGTAAAAAAGTGTGTCTACTTTTTTTATAGTAGTAGACAGAAGGCTACGGTTCTTCAAATAATGTTTGTAGACCACAAACCACTACAGTACTCTCATTCCTGTTCCTTCAAAGTGTGTGTCTGTACCACCAGTGTTTTAACACATGCATTTTACAAGGGTTTCGTTTATTTCCTATAGCATTTACTGCACTTAAGCAGAAGTCTTTTTTGGGAGAATTCAACTGTCATTGTTAGTTTCTTTCTGTATTTTTAGTTGTTTTTCATATTTATGTATTTCCTGCACAGTATCGTCATTTAGGTTAAATTGTTTTCAATCAGTATTTTTAGTTTATTTAAAGTTGTCATTGTGCATTCATTGCATTAGTCATTATATTTGTTTAAAATACAGTACAAACATATTTAATTTGTACAATTGATTAATTTGTATTTAATTAAATAGGTTCTGTGGGATTTTACCTGTACTAAAGCTTTTCGGCTATAATTGGCTTTGGATATTGCAAAAATGCTTTGTATCCTTGTCGATAACTTTACTTATATAAAGTAATACAGTTTTCATCAAACTAATTTAATATTGTACTGTAATATCATAAAACTATCTTCATCACAATTCAAGACAAAAGCAGAATCAAAACATAAATAAACAACAATAACAATAAAAATAAAGAACATATGTTATTTAACATATGAACATTACCAACATCTTCCTTTTTCCAAAATGAATGAATGAATGAATGAAATGTGTTTATTTCCACATAATATATACAGAAAACAAAACATACTTTTTTATACAAAATATACTTACAAAATAAAACTAAGACTAAGAATAAAAAAAAATAAAAACATTTCTGTATAATTAATTATGGAATGTAAACCTGCTTAAAAAATTATTAGTTTAGAAAGGAGATTTATATAAATTCAGTAAAAATTGAATAAGAACTACTTATGACTTCTTATGTTTTTATGACTTGAAAATGTTTTTAAGTTCTTAAAAAGTGTCTATTTCGAATATAATCTTTTCCTTCCACGCGCACAATGTACTTTCTCCTCCCTTCCTTTCGAACAACTTTACCCTCAAGCCATGTCGCATTCTTCAGTTGGGGTTGTTTCTTTAACCACACGCATTGGCCAATCGACAATAGAGGCAGATCCGTGGTTCCATGGTCATACTGACTTTTGTACTGTCTCTTTTTACGTTCCTATAGATTCTGAACATTTTGTGGAACTTGTGGCTTCAGTAAGCTCTTATTTATTGGCAGTTTGCTTTGTGTTCTTCGGTTCATGAGGAGTTGAGTGGGGCTAAAGCCAATTCCTTGCAATGGGGGTGTTCCTAACTTCTAATAACGCTTGTTGGAAGTCCACTCCATCTTGACGCGATCTCTTCAAAAGATTCTTGAATATTTTTACTGCCGACTCTGCTTTACCGTTTGCTTGGTGATGGTACGGCGGGGATAGAACTATCTTGAATTTCCAATTTTTAGCAAAATCGTGAATACTTTGAGCCATGAGGGGCGTTCCACTGTCTGAAACAACCACCTCTGGTATTCCATACCTTGCAAACAGTTCTTTGCAAAATGTTATCAGGGGTTCACTTGTGCATTTTGTTACCTTTTTCACTTCAAAAAATGACGAAAAATAGTCACAGACAATCAAATAGTGAATCGAACCTTCCTGGGCAAAATCAATGGCTACTTTTTGCCAGGGTCTCTCCGGAGTTTTCTCAAGTATCAAAGGTTCTCTTCGTTGGTCTGGTGCATACATTTTGCATATCTTGCAGGAACTTATATCATTTTTGATGTCTACTCAAACAGGGCCAGAAAAACACATCTCGTGCACGTCTGATACATGCATCTGATCCCTGATGAGAGGAATGTGTTATTTGAATTAATTCTTTTCGTAATGAAACTGGAATCACAATTCTTTCTCCTTTGAGAACGATCCCATCCTCTACACTTAGTTCATCACGAAATGGCCAATATTGTCTGAGATCCTCGGATAGTTTAAAAATTTTTTAAACATTATTGCCACCAGGACTGATGTAGAATGATATGATAGGTTACGTACCTTTTTTATTCCGTCGTCAGTCCTTAAATAGTCAAAGGGTGACTAGTTTCGGGTCAGAAATGACCCATTTTCAAACCCATTTTCATCAAATCGATTAGTCCAAAATCCGACAGAAGTCTTCGTTAAGAGGTACAAACACATGTCGACACATAAAGTTCACACATTTAATGAAAATAGCCGGCTACATTTTATAAGAGACACACTGACGCAGGTAGCACGGCGGACATGGTGCTTTGTATCCTTGTCGATAACTTTACTTATATAAAGTAACACAGTTTTCATCAAACTAATTTAATATTGTACTGTAATATCATAAAACTATCTTCATCAAATTCAAGACAAAAGCAGAATCAAAACATAAATAAACAACAATAACAATAAAAATAAAGAACATGTGTTATTTAACATATGAACATTACCAACAATCCTATAATAAAATCTTGTATTTTTTTTGTCATTGTTGATCTTACCATGAAGCCTACGGGTATGTGAAGTTTATACCCTGTATCAAACAAACAGCTGTTTGACTCGTATTATGTTTTGACAAGTGACAATACGATTGGCGCCAGTCGGCTACAGAATTGCCAACTCTGCACGTGAAACGCTAACTATCCCGCCGCATCTTGATAACTCTGCGCCTGTTAATTGATATTTTGTTATGATAGTGAACGTGGGGCAATACACTTGATAGCAATTTAGAGAAAACTGTCGGAGCCAAGGGCTAGTGCAGCACATAGCTGGTTCGTCTTGGGTAGTTAACTCAACATGTATGACATCATTCTGCTTTTCTGCTTAACGTCAGTCATCAGCCCTGTGTCTGTTCTTCTCATTTGCTGAATGTTGTCATGTGATTATTATTGATGAGTGTTTTGTAACATCAATCGAGTAACGCCAAAATGGAGTGCGTTCTCAAAGTTTTAGCTCCGCGTATGACTCAATCTATTTTTCTTGTACAGTTAATTACTAGCTGTTCAAAAACATACTATTGTTTGTGTAATCAAACGTCCAGTCCTTACAACAGTGTGTTTTGGATAATTTTGTAGCCGTTCTTAAATGCAGTGTTCCAATTATTGAGAGATTGTTGACTTGAAGCAGCTATTACAGTGTTGCACGGGTCAGTAACTTGTATGAAAATAAGTTGTAGGAATTCCAAGCACACGCTTGTTTCAGTAAGTATGCTGACGCCAGTTAATTATGTGAGGGCCAATATAAAGTACTGTATAGAATTGAATCATGTGTAATTGTCTGTGTTACGTTAATTTGGTCAATACCGTTATTTAAATAAAATTAGTCCTCAGTCAAGTTTTAGAGTACTGTATTTCCAAATACCGGTAATTGGCTCAATAGTTTCCGACACGTAAAATTATGTTCAGTATAGTGGATTTATTGAGCAAAGCTCTCATACTATACACCTGTTATAGTTTTTTTACAAATTCTCCTCCTGAACGGCTAAAGCGATCCGGACGAAATTTAGCACAGTCATACTAACTAACTATGGGAAGGGATCAATCTGAAATGGTACAAATCGGACTACAGGGGTTTTCTCTGCTTGAATTTAAACTTTTAGAAAATTAACATGGGTCTTGTAGGTTCATTGGTCGCCATGACATTATTTGCAAGATAACAATAAAATGCAAACCAAAGAGTTGTAAGATATGTGTACGGCCAAATCATCCAAACTAGCACATTATAAATGCAGAATAAAAGGGAAGAACAATTTGATTTATACGGTTGAGCATAATTTACTAGAAATTGAATTACCAATTAGGCTAATGCCCCATTGACTTTAGGTACTAAATTTATATTTAAGTAGTGTACCTGTTGCTCGAATTCGAGCAATTGCTAAGTATTACAGGCGTTATTTTAAAACGAATAACAGTCATAATTTCTTATTACTTTAAAATATTCGACTCAAAGATTATGGAAATACTAAAGATGTACATAATAGATCTATATAATCAACATTTATTGTAAATAGTGTTTTCTTCAAAAATAGCCTTACTCATAGCTGCATTGGGTTTCCAGACACATTGTGTGTCCAAAAGCCAGCACGACTCGACTCCCTTCCCCATACCGCCCTGAGCGAGGGATCATTGAGATTCGTTCTAACATTTCCTCTCCGCTTCTCAAGTTATCATACCTTTTCTTTCTTAGTTTTTGTTTGTTTCTTTATTTTAAATTTTAATGCCTGTATGTATCCATTGTCTTTTCCTATTTCCCTAGCTACTTTTCTAAACGTCTCAACGTATACAGATTAGTGCTCAGCAGTAGCAGGTATTCTTGTAGCATAGTTGCCGTAGTTGAACGATCAGCACAGTAACAATCAGATGTCCTCATTTTACTAGGTTCGCTAGGGTACGATGATAACGCTATCAGTCGTGTGTGTTAGCAGACTTGGCAAATAATACAAGTCATCGCCTGACACACACACACACACACTCATCCCTCTTTATACGAGAAATAACTTGTCTATGCACATTTTGTGTGAGACTCAAGTTGATTATCTTGAAATATGTCCTTTGATAATTATTTTAGTTGCCGCTCGAGTGAATGTTGGTGCAACTTATGTAAACGTTTCTTGTCAAAATAAAGTGATCATTTTAACTATACCCACGCTATTTTTGATAACATGATTCGGTAGGGTTCATGTTAATATTTTATAAAATAAGATCGTGTAAATATGTTAATACAGTACATTAACGAATTGTGGTGCTGTGATTCCTAAATCCGTGAAGCTGTGTTGTATAATAACATTCCTTTATTATTACATCGTACAGTACAAGATCGTTCGTTACACAAACTCCATTTCATTATTATAAAATCAACAAGGTAGTGTTATTGAAATTAGACTTTTTTGCAAGTGTAGATTAAATGCATTCAAAAACAATCTTCAGGGCCTGGCACAATCTTGTCATGCTACCACCTCCCCCCACTCTATATACTCCTTGCGTTGCCATCAAAACTTCGTGTCCTATCTTAAACTGTTTCCAGTCCTACTATGACTTAACATTCATGTTCAGAGCCGGGATCCGTAAGCTCGCTGTTGTTATTATATTCCATTCCGCGACCCATTATTAATACTGTAGTTGTAGTTCTGCTGGTGAGTTAGGAGTTGGTGGTTGGTTTGTTTCTGTCTCACGCGATGACCTTGACAATGGGCCCAGGCTGATGGCACGCGATCTCCCGTTATATTTATCTATATTTAGGCAATAGGTAGATTTAACAAATTCATTTTTCAATATCGAGCAGTTTTGATTAGGTTAGGTTAGGTTATCTTTGATGATAATATCACTAATAACTCTGATGACAAATTATTATTATCATGTATGGTTGGTAAACTACTTCAAAAAGCCATTGTCATTAGTAAGGTTGGAACTTTATCGATACAGATTTACTTGCATATTATCCAACTGCAAAAATTGGCATCTATGTAACTGTCTGTATAGAGTGTTCTCTGTTATCTTCCACACGCCAATTGACATACAAACGCTGATTCACTGATCTAGTCACGTGACTCACTGTTGTACGAGATAACTTATCAGTGTAGTGACCTTGGCTGATGTGAATGGACATAGACTGGACGACCCAACACACCCCGTCTCCACCTGAAGAGGCAATTAACTGAAGTAATATAACTTCATATCTACTCTACTTGCCATGCCAATGACTCTTGCTGAATTTACACATACTGTCTTCTTTCTTTCTTGAAGTCGGAATCAATTTTTAAGAAATTCTCTACTCTTAATCTGCCCCACCAATGAGTCTAGTAGAATATACAGAGACCGTCCATCCCCTTCTCTACCGGTCATCTTCTGCCTTGTGCAATAATTACTACCCTTACGATTTTATTAGAAACTAGCTGTGTACCCGTTCTACGCACGGGGATCTTATAATATTCAGTTGAAACCTTCTTATATAACGAACAGCAGTTGGTTTGCATATTTTAAGATATGCTGGCCAAACTATTATACATAGCTTCATTTTATGTTGTTTTTTGTTGTTCCGGATCGGTATGACAATCAATAAAAGGTTAAATTACCTCTGTGTCTGCCGGTCGATCCTATAACGGTAGGCTTACTTTTATTTTTACTATCTGATCTCGTTTGCATGGCTCAATCACGTCCTGGTTGAAGTTCGTTCGCTACGCTCACTCACCTGTATGTTGGAGCTCGTTCGCTGCGCTCACTTTCCTTCAGGTTAGCTCGTTCGCTACGCTCACTTGCCTTCAGGTTAGCTCGTTCGCTACGCTCACTCGCCTCCAGGTTGCAAATTAGCTGTTGTCATAAATGTAAAAGAAATAATAGTGCTAGTGCTGCACCCTGTTGGTAATCCTTGTAACTTTAATGCTATTGAACATCACAGAACAGAACCAACTTGTTTAATTGAAACAGCTGTTAAGATTCAATAATTTCATTTCTCATAAGGTTAACATGGGCTTCCAGAAATTCCACGTCAAAAATCGACAAAAACTTGATTTTCAAGGGTTTACTGTTAAATATCTAACTGTCTCATATTCGATGAAATACGTCTAAAACCATCTCATATATGTATAGTATTTGGAAAATAAGTTTCAGGCGGGACAGTGCTATAGTTATTGAGGAGTAGTTGTAATAAAGTGCGTATTTTAGCGTTACCAAGAGAATGACAGATAGACAGACAGACAGACAGACAGACAGACAGACAGAAATTGAGATAAG